GGGGCGGGGCGCGGGGCGGCGCGGCGGGAAGAGGCGGTGAGGGCGGCGCGGGAGAGCGAGGGCTCTGTGGCGCAATGGATAGCGCATTGGACTTCTAGCGTGGTGACGGGAGTCATTCAAAGGTTGTGGGTTCGAGTCCCACCAGAGTCGCATTTTGCCGCCGGGGCGCGGCGATCGTTCTCGGGGTTCCACGACCGTCAACGGGCCGGGGGAGCCGCCGCCCCCGGCCGCTGCCGCCGCGCAGGAGCCCGCCTGCCCTTGGTAGTCTGCGGGGAGCCCCGTTTTCGGAGCGGGGCGAGGGGCGGCCCGGGTACCGGCGGTGAGGGGACAGACCCAGGCAGGGAGAGGAGCTCCAGGACACGGCCTTCCTGGAGATTAATAAATGTGCATCGATCCCAGCGGATCTGTGCGCGGTTCTACGGCAGCATCACCTCCTTTAGTAGTTACTGTTATCGCGTCCCCAAAACAGCCCCAGCAGCACAGGCATGGACCGCTGCTGGTGGTGGTGGTGGAGCTGCCACTTGTCCACAGCGAATACATCCCCCCCCAAAAAAAGCATTTTCACATGGCTTGTGTCTGCCAAAATCACCCCAGCTCCCCACCGCTGCCTTCCTTTGCACAGACTTGACAAGTGACAGCTGTGAGGAACAGGAGCCGCGGTGGCCGTTAAGTGATCCAGCTGAGCAGATAGAGTTTAAAATTACATTATGGGCCATTTCTGTAATGCTGGCACCAGCCCATCAAGCAACACGAGGCTGCGCGAAGGCGGCACAACAGCCGCCAGCAGCCCAAGCGCTGCTCAGCCGTGCTAAATAACCCAAAGTGCAGCAAAACCCTCTCTCATGACCATCATTTCCCATGTTTCCTTGACTGCTGCTCACAGCTTCTGGAAGCAGAAAATCTTCACTGCCCTTCAGTTTAACCACCCCAAGGCTCCAACATGTTTCCAATGCAGAAAAGCACATTTCCGGGTTGTTTTAGGGCCAAATGCTTCTTTCATCTCAGCCACCGCAATAGGACAACCTCCACTCCGTGCGTTTTACCAGCAGCTGAAGGATGTATTTATACGATGTTCTTTATGATCTGCTTGAAATAACTCTGGACGCCAAGGGGAGGCATAAGCCTGGTTTTGGAGAAAACCCCAAAGTCTGGCTGGTGGGGGGCTGTGGAGGGAGAAGTTGAAGATGGGGAGTCGGGGGAGCCCAGGAAAGAAGCCCATCCCTCTGTCCCGGTGTCTGCTCTTAAACGTAGCCCCAAACCCAGTTTTGCCCCTGCTCAGCCTCCTGGGATGGAGCAACTCTAACCCCTGGTCACACCATCAGCCCCTGCTCCTGCCCACCTGCTCCAGCATCCCATGGGAGACTAGGACAGGACTGGTGAAGCTCACAGCAGGGCAATGCCATGTCCCCCAGTTGCCACCAAAGGATCTGTGTCAGAGCACCTCTTCCCTCTCTGGGAACCAGGATCACTTTAGGAAGCCCCCAGCCTCGCCCTCCTCCTGCTCCGCACCTCAATCTTCCCCTGTCCAGGCCCTTCTGCAATGACCACCGCAAGGAGCTACTCAACAGCCCAGCATCCCCAAATCCCAGCTGGAAAGATGTGCCTCCGCAGCCCATTTTGTGCCCCAGTCCCCAGGGATGTGTGGCCATACATGTCACCTACCACCACAGACAAAGAACAGCAGACCCCACTGGAGCTGAAAAGGGGTGAGGTTTCATATCAGATCTCCCCCTCAGAAGGGGAAATGGGGTGGAAGGAGAGGGATTACAAACCACAAGCTCCACCGTGAATTTTATTAAGCAAGAAGGGACTTCAACAGCAAACCCACACGTACAAAGAGCCCCTGGCCTCATGGCTCTCTGCCCTTGCATCCGACAGCTCTGCTCTCCAGCTGCTGGCAGTATGGAGCCCCGTTTAATTAATCCAGACAGCAATCAGCTCCCAGATGTAGCACAAGCAGCCGCTGTTTCTGTGCTGCCAGGATTCAGCCCCTTATTCCTGATTGTGTCATTTTGTTGCCCAAGGAGGGGACAATTCCTACTGAAAACCCAGCGCAATCACATGGATTTCAGCATTTTTGATGGGGAGGGACTACAGAGAGATATGGCAGCCTGGGATCGGCTCTTGAACAGCCAATCCAGCAGGGATAATATCCAAAGGTATTTCCCGGCCTGTTCCCATAGGCATGCAATCACACACTGCCTGGTCTCCAAGGCATGAGGTCAGGAGACCAGTTAGGCACCAGTACAAGATGGGATTTCACTGTTGCACAAACCAAACCTGCCCCTGGGCTGCTCTGTAAATCACTGGTTTAGCTCCAGTCCAGGCTGGCCCCAGGACTTTAAATCTTGATCTCCCCTGGGAGGGTGGGAGGAGGGATTTACCTATACAGCCCTAGAGCTGCAGAAGGCCAAGTTTGTTCCAGTGTGTTGTAAAGCAGCTCTGCTCCCTCCCCATCCCAGCATTTCGGAGCACCAGTACTGGAGCCAGCAGCCAGACCCAGCTGGCAAAGGCACAGCAGGACTTGCCATCCCTCCACTGAATCACAAACAGCAAAAAGGGTCAAGTTTTGTCACGGCACAGGAAGGTGTCACTTGGCCTCTAGCAACAGGAGGGTGCCAGCTCTTGGCAGGAGAAAACTCAGCCCTTGGGTCCATGGCAGCCAGTAGCAGAGCCATGCTGCGCTCCCGGGCAGATGGACACGGAGCGTGGCAGGGGCAGCGGGGATCCCCTGTCCCCTCCCTGTACTTGAGCTCTCACACTTGAACGTCTGGGGGAGGAAAGATGCCGATCTCCTCCCGCAGGGATGCCACTGACTGCTCCCAGCGCTGCTCGTAGTAGACATTCAGGATACAGCTGGCGTTGCGCCCGCTCCGAATCGCCCAGGGAGCCAGCTCAGTGGCCAGGAGCTGCAGGTTTCTGGAACAAGTGATACAGGAGGTGACAGTTTTGATTTCCATGTTTTGTTTTTGATTTCCTTCTCTAAGTCCCCATTGCAGGCAGATGCCAAACCCACATGTCCCATGTACCCCTCTACCATTCTGGCACCCCTCCTGCTTAACTCACAGGGGAAACTGAGGCACATAAGAGGATGGTGTGCCTGGAAGGTTACAGTCAGCAGTAAACCCAAGACCAGAACTCAGGTTCTGCAATCCCCAAACTGTGTTGGGCCACCAAAACAGATGTGCTGGGGCAGGGAACAGCCACCAGTGTGGTGAGGGTCTTGCTGGCCCTCAACACATGCCCAGCCAAGGGCAACCAGGCCTGGGCATTGCTCCTCCTGCCTGGCACAGGAGATTCAGTGCTGGAAGCAGATGAAGCATCAGGTTCTGCTTCAGTGACCAGGCAAAGTCATGCCTCCCACTGTTACCGCTTCCCTGGGCTGTGAGGAAAAAGCAGCAGGTTGACACTGACTGACTCCCCCCTCCAAACTAGCAGTGTCCCCTCTTTGTCCCCAGAGGACACTGGAAAGCATCACCCAGGCTGGTGCATCCCCCAGGCAGAGACTCTCTCCTCATCAGCCGGTGCCTACCGTGCGCTGAGATGGATGGGGCCGAACGCTGCTCCCAGGACACACATGGGCAGTCCTGTCTGGACGGCTTCGAACCATTTCACCACGACTTCACCTGGGAGGGAGCAGAAAGACCATGAGCGGGCAGGGTGCCCGGGTCGAGGGCCAGCCAGCGCTGTGCAGTCCCACAATGCAGGCTGCACGATCTGCCCCTTCCCAAGAATGGCTATGCACCCATCCCCTCCGCCTCCGTGGCAGGACTCGGGAATGCTTCCCAAGTCTGGCCATGGCCTCATCCTGTGCCAGAATGAGCCTCATTGTGCACCACCCACCCAAGGGGGACGGCCCAGGGCACCCGGGGGAGCAGCACCCCGCATTTGATGACCCATGAGCTTGGGAAACACCTCCCAGGCAGGCCAGCTCTCTGCAGATCTTTAGCAATGCGATTGCCAAAGCTGGATCCCCCACGCAGCTCTCCCCATCTCTCGGCACGGGACAGACCTTTTGCAAATGCTGCCAGGGCTCAGCCAAAGCCTGCGTAGGAGAGCTGACATGCTGGTTCCTGCAGGCTCACCAGCAAGGCTCGACTTGCGACTTGCTATTGAGTCAGGCTCAAAATGAGGGCAAAGGACACGGAGACACGCAGATAAGGAGCAACCAGGAACCCCCCACTTTGCCTTCACTCAGAGCTTGTGAAACATCCCTCCCTCTGTGCCGCCCTCCCTGCCAGACAGCAAACACCCATCCACCTGCCCAGTGGCTGCCTGCACCCGGGGCTTGGGCAGAGCATCTCCCAGCAGGGGAAAGATGACATCCTGTGGGCTCTCAGCCACCACAAAGCCAGTGATACAGGACAGTGATGACGCAAACCTCCCCGCACACCAACCCGGCCTGAGGATCGAGGATTCTGACTGGCCCAGCCTGCTGCATTCCTGGTAGAGGCAGGCGAGCACTGTCAGTGGTGTTTGGCAGCACAGCCCTCTGAGCCCACTGCTGCTCACCTAGTATGGTGGTTGGCATGCCCAGAAGGGTGTGCATCAGATCGTGGACTTCCCGGTACCGCTGGATCACGTACGCCAGCTCTTCATCATCAACAAACTTGGGCGGCATCCGGGTGTCTGGGGAAACCTTCTGCAAACCCAAAGAGGTCCAATTCAGTCCCTTCCAAACCTCAAGTTTCCGGCCTCATTCTTTAATGCACAGAAATACAGGGTTTCCTCCATCAGCACATCTCCCAGCCCCCAATGATGGGGGTCAGTGTCATTTACCCAGACGAAAAGCAAGGACTGAGCAGCACTGGTGACACATCCAGCATTGTTCAACACCCAGCATCTCATCCCATCTCCCCAACTCCCTCTCGTTCCCAGAGGGTTCCCCACAGGTTCCTCCATGGCTCCAATCTCCCTCTAAAGCACATCCGTGCTCCCAGCACAAGGATCAACTACAGCCATTTGCACCCTACGAAACCCTACACTCACGTTGTCCTCCAAGAATCGGATGTACTCTCGGCCCAGCGAGCCATCCGGCAGCCCCCGCAGCTTTGCCATGTCCAGGGTGGAGAGACGGATGCGAGGCCGTTCCCTGAAAGCAAAACACAGGTGAGTCAGTCTCCCAGTGAAACCCACAGTGGGGGGTCCTGGAGAAAAGGATCCCCTGGAAACCCCCATCCCCTGCCTCTGCCCTTCCTGGGCATTTTCCTTGCACAGATCCTGACTGCTCATAGCAGGGATAGCACCATCCTTACAAACGTTGCTGAGGCTGGGACAGAAATTGCATAAAGGATCTACATGAAGCCTTGGCAATAAAAGAGCTCTTATCTTGCACCCCGGTAGCAACTCTGGTTGGAAAAACACCCGCGTCCTCTGCACCAAAATGCTGCTGCCATGCAGGCTGCCGGCCAGGCACAGCCCCCAGCAACAGCTGGCCCTGGGGGAGCAGAGCTCTTTAGCATCCCTGCAAAGCAGCCAGAGCTTCAAAGGAACAACTCTAAAAAGGGGAGGGAATTTGTTCTAAACACGGGTTTAATTTCTTTCCTGCTCAGGCTTGGCTTTCACCACCAGCCACGTGGCAGCCATGCGTGGAAAGGTCTCCTCTCCAGGTTGTTGGCAAATGGGTGCCCCACAGCCCTGGAACTCAACAAAAGCCCTTTTATTTCCATGCACAGGATAAATTCTTCCCATGATAAAAGCCCTGCAGTGGATCCAGGAGCTGCTCTGCTCCTGGAGCAGAGGTGCCAGGCAGATAAACAGGACTAGCAACAGCTTCACCCTGGCCTGCAGACATTTCCTTGTGTATTCAGCGGCAAAGGGACCTCAGCAGCTTGGGGGATTAAAAAATAAGACTTGTGTGCGCAAATCAGACCACTGCAAATCCCTGCATGGGGAAAGGAGCAGATGGGGACGTCTCTCCCCAGCCCTCAGTGCTTTTGCTGTCCCCTGTCCCTGGGCAGTTCCTCTGGGTCTCAGCCCCATCCTGGTGCTCTGTGTGCTTTGCTGGGTCAACATCCGGAGCCAGATCAGGCTGCTCTGCACAAACATGTGGCAAAAGGCAGCTTTTCCCAGCCCCTACGTAGTACAACCCAAATGATATACAAGCGGCAGGGAGAAGGCAAGCAAATAAGCAGCAAGATCTTTGTTAATAAGAGACTTATGAAGTCCCTCCTGGTCCTCAGCCTTGCTGCACTTGACAAGTCCCTGCAGACACGGAAGCAAAAGTGATCAAGTCTTAACAAGGAAGACAGGAGAAGTGGCCTCATTTCACAGCTTGGGGAGATGCTGCAGGTGCTGGGAAAGAAAATACGGAGGCACCCAAGGAGAAGGCAGACCAGCAGAGACGAAGTCTCCAATGCAAGGAGATGCAGCAGAGGCGCAGGGGAGAAATCCATGGACATGGTGGGTTTCACCCATTGCTGAGCAGTGATGAAAACCCACCATATCCATGGATTCCTCCCCTGCGCCTGCTGCTGCATCTCCTTGCATTGGCACCTGCCAGTTCCAGCAGCTAAGCAGAACAGACAGACAGCAGCACTTGCAATAGGGCTGGGCCCAGCAGCTGCTGTGCTCTTGCCCTTAGACTTGCCATGGCTCTTGTCATCGTTAAAAATAAAGTAAAATAAACAACCTGGAGGGTTAGAGCTAACAAAATGTCTGTGCCATTTTCAAGCCAGGGAGCACAGGGCCCTCCCTTCATGGAGCCCAAGGAACACGCTTGGCCTTTTATCTCCCTCCCCACCATGACCCATGGGGTGAGGGAGGGATGTGGAGGGACGCACTGGAGGATGCGGTAACCTTCAGGGTGGTGTTTCATCTTGTCTCGCAGGTTGGGTAGGGCCAGGCAGCCTGTGGTCTCCCCGAGGACTGCCACCATGTCTGAAAGAGAGACCAGAGAGTGACCCAAGAGTGGGTTTTGCAACACCCAGCTGTCCTCGATTGGCAGGTGAGGAAATGGGGCAAACGAACCCCTTGGCCAGGCGCAGGCAAGAAGCCTGTGGCAGAGCGAGGAGCCCCACAAACCACGGGTCTTCAGCCGCAGGGCTGCTCTGCCCTAGTGCCACCAGGAAGGGATGTAGGAGGCCCCGGGGGGACCGAGGAGGAACGAGATGAGGAAACAGGGCATCACAGGGGGTCAGGAGGAGATCACTGGGGGGGGTGTTTGGGGGTCCTCACCCCCTCTCTTCCTCAGCCTCCCACCCTGGGCCAGGTCTCAACCCTGCACTTGCCCCATTACTAAATGGCTCACCCAACGGGGGGAGAACTAAAGGCCCCTGAGAAACTCCCAGGAGACACAGGGCTGGATTTTCTGGACGTTAATAAGGACCCTGGGCGGAACGGGCCGCCCCGGGTCGGCTTACCGTGTCTGTAGGGGTCATAGAGAGCCATAAACGCCGAGCCGGCAGCCAGCAGCGCTTTCTGCAGCGGACTGGTGGGGATATGCCCGGGGTACAGCTGATACCACCCTTCCTCCTCTTCCTCCTCCCCGCTGCGTCCATCCCGGGTCCGCGGCTCGGTGTGGCTCAGACAGGCTCTGCCTGCGGGGAAACAGCGGGTGAGGAAGCGGCCCGGCGAGTCCCCAGCGCCCGCGGGCAGGGAAACGGGGGCCGGCACCGTCCGGACGCCCTTGGGGCTGCCCGCGGAGAACGGGGACGGCCGGGACAGGAGACGGGGAGGAGCGGGGCGGGGGGGGGGGGGGGGGCGTTTTGCGGGGGGGCGT